CTGCACAAATTGGTCATAAAATGTCATCTGATCATCATCTAAGTCACAACAATAGACAATCACAGTCTGCTTAAACTAATAACACACAAAGAATGAAATGTTGCCATGTTTTTATTGAACACACCATGTAAACATTCACAGTGCATGTGGAAAAAGTATGTGAACCCCTAGACTAATGACATCTCCAAGAGCTAGTTGGAGTGAGATGTCAGCCAACTGGAGTCCAATCAATGAGATGAGATTGGAGGTGTTGGTTACAGCTGCCCTGCCCTATAAAAAACACACACCAGTTCTGGGTTTGCTTTTCACAAGAAGCATTGCCTAATGTGAATGATGCCTCGCACAAAAGAGCTCTCAGAAGACCTACGATTAAGAATTGTTGACTTGCATAAAGCTGGAAAGGGTTATAAAAGTATCTCCAAAAGCCTTGCTGTTCATCAGTCCGCGGTAAGACAAATTGTCTATAAATGGAGAAAGTTCAGCACTGCTGCTACTCTCCCTAGGAGTGGCCGTCCTGTAAAGATGACTGCAAGAGCACAGCGCAGAATGCTCAATGAGGTGAAGAAGAATCCTAGAGTGTCAGCTAAAGACTTACAAAAGTCACTGGCAAATGCTAACACCCCTGTTAGCGAATCTACAATACATAAAACACTAAACAAGAATGGATTTCATGGGAGGATACCACAGAGGAAGCCACTGCTGTCCAAACAAAACATTGCTGCACATTTACAGTTTGCACAAGAGCACCTGGATGTTCCACAGCAGTACTGGCAAAATATTCTGTGGACAGAAGAAACCAAAGTTGAGTTGTTTGGAAGAACACACAACACTATGTGTGGCAACATAAAGGCACTGTCAGGGAGCCGCGGGCGGCGAGGAGGGGAGGCTGCACGCCACTTGCAGCACTCACCCTCAGTCCATCGCCGCCCGCGGTCTCCTCTCTGCTTACCTGTCGGCGAGCGGCGTCTCCTCTGTGCCGCTCGCCGCCAGCGTCCTCCACGCCCCCCAGCGGCAGCATGTATAACGCTGCACGCTGGGAGGTCCAGGAGTTAAGTAAACGCCGGGGTCACGTGAGTGACCCGGCGTTAAAGAAACAGTACCACAATCACAGTGGGGGTATAGATATCCCCCACGTGTGATTGTTAATTCTGATTGGAAGTTATCCAATCAGAGTTAAACCTAGGGTATTTATACTTACCTTTCCTGTCCCTCAGTGCCCTGTTGTGGTCTTGTGATACCTGTAGCGTAGTGTTCTCGTCTTGCTCTCTGGTTACCGATTACTTGGCTCGTTATTCCGATTTTCCTGTCTTCTCCACTCCTTTGACCTCGGCTTGTTTCTCGTTCTCCCGTTTTCTGGCTCCCTTTACCTGGCTTGTCTCCTGACTATTCTTAGCGTGCTTAGCCCGGCCACTCTAAGGTCCGGTACGGCACCTTTTCTGTGTGTGTGTGTGTGTCAGCGTGTTAGGTTCCCCGAATCGTGACAGGCACAGCACACCAACATCAAAACCTCATCCCAACTGTGAAGTATGGTGGTAGAGGCATCATGGTTTGGGGCTGCTTTGCTGCGTCAGGGCCTGGATGGATTGCTATCATCGAAGGAAAAATGAATTCCCAAGTTTATCAAGATATTTTGCAGGAGAACTTAAGGCCATCTGTCTACCAGCTGAAGCTCAACAGAAGATGGATGTTGCAACAGGACAATGACCCAAAGCATAGAAGTAAATCAACAGAATGGCTTAAACAGAAGAAAATACGCCTTCTGAAGTGGCCCAGTCAGAGTCCTGACCTCAACCCGATTGAGATGCTGTGGCATGACCTCAAGAAAGCGATTTACACCAGACATCCCAAGAATATTGCTGAACTGAAACAGTTCTGTAAAGAGGAATAGTCAAGAATTACTCCTGACCGTTGTGCACGTCTGATCTGCAACTACAGGAAACGTTTGGTTGAAGTTATTGCTGCCAAAGGAGGTTCAACCAGTTATTAAATCCAAGGGTTCACATACTTTTTCCACCTGCACAGTGAATGTTTACATGGTGTGTTCAATAAAAACATGGCAACATTTCATTCATTGTGTGTTATTAGTTTAAGCAGACTGTGATTGTCTATTGTTGTGACTTAGATGATGATCAGATCACATTTTATGACCAATTTGTGCAGAAATCCATATCATTCCAAAGGGTTCACATACTTTTTCTTGCAACTGTATGTGATGTTGGACACGTATACGTTATCCCCTGATTCCTGCACCAGTTATAAAACACAATGCCAAGTGTTAAAAACTACAGAATTAAAGGGTTACTCCGACCCTTCCTAAACCATTTATTTTTTTAACTTACAATGCCATATTAGTTAGAAGTGGTCAGAGTAACTCATTAACAGCCAGTCAGAAAGAGGGCGGCAACTGCATGCTGGAAAATATATATATATATATACTGGACCTTAAGGTAACAGGTCACTTTCAGTAGAGAAGGAAAGTCTAGTTTCTGGTGCTGTATGTGTAAGGGTTTATTAATTGAACTTTGAATTGTAGTGAATTGAAATCTGAACGTTAGAATTGAGGACAAAATAGATTTAATCACAGATTGGTTATTTTAGCATGCATTTTAGTTTGGCTCAATTTTTTCCAGATAGAATGCAACAAACATTTACTTGGAGTTCGATTTACTGAACAGAATGTTTTGCGTTAGGGATTTTCTCCAACTCTGATAATGTCTCCTGAATTTCACTGCTACACACTGTTTAGTGAATACATTCTTCTAAAACCTAATCAGGGTCCCTCACAAAAATTTAAAAAGAGGAAACGAGGGGCAAAGGGAAGGGAGAACAGGTATGAAAGAAAAGGGAACCCTATCCCTTATTAAATTTACCATAATACTAAGAGACCAAAAAGGCAGAAACATGCTAGTCTGGTAATGACACTAAGATAGAATGATAGATAGATTCTAATCACTAAATTAAACCAAAGCCCCAATCACAATGAAGAAAAAATACAACAGGAAGACACAGGTACTGAGAAAAATGTAGAAAGGGACAGGGAGAGATTTATGCATACTACCCCCCAAAAAAAGGCACAAATATAGCTCCAATCCCCCCCAAAGATAAAATCTCTAGGTACTCCAGTTAAAACTGGGGTAGAAAAGAAAAGGAAAAACCCATTTAAAACTCTTAATTATCCCTAAACCTACCTAAACTATTAACCCTTATTGCTGGGATGATCTACATCAAGTATGTCAAACCCGCGGCCCACAATGAATTTTTTTGTGGCCCAGCCAATCAGGGGCCAATCACAGGCAGCGGTCGAGGGGGGCACAAATTACTTGTCAGACAGACAAGTGATTTTTGCGCCTGCCTTGGTCTGTGCTCCCTGCGCCCCCAGGCAGAGTGCGGCTCCATAAGGGAACCGCATGCACAGTACACTGGGAGGGGGAGCGACTCCCCCTTCTGCGTAGGAGCGCTGAGTGTCACGTGATCACCCGGCAATCAGTCTGGAACCATGCGCTGCTGGAGAGTGAGATGCCCCCCTCCCCTTCTATGTCAGGTGAGAAATAGCATGGAGGGAGGCCAACTATCAATACGGCAGAGCCGGCGCTACCATCACTTCAGGCGCTGACTCTGTGAGAGAAACAGCTGCCTGCCAGAGCAGGAGAAGGGAGATATGAATAGAAGGGGTAGGAAGGGAGACATGGGTGGTGGAGATAGGAATGGAAGGGGTGGAGGAGATAGAAATGGAAGGGGTGGGAAGGTATGTAGATAAGAATGGAAGGCGTGGGGGGGAGATGGATGGAATGGGTGAGGGGGAGATAGGGATGGAATGGGTGAGATATGGATGGTAGGAGACCCATGGAGGGAAACCAACATGGATGGAAGGGGAGACATGGATGGAAGGGGGAGAGACATGGATGGAAGGGGGACATGGATGGAAGGGGAGAGGACATGGATGGAAGGGGAAGAAGGGACATGGATGGAAGGGGAAGAGGATGAGAGGAGGGACATGGATGGAAGGGGAGAGGACATGGATGGAAGGGGGAGAGGGACATGGATGGAAGGGGGAACATGGATGAAGAGTGGGGGGGACATGGATGAAAGGTGGGGAGGGACATGGATGGAAGGGGGGAGAGACATGGATGAAGGGTGGGGAGGGACATGGATGAAGGTGGGAGGGACATGGATGGAAGGGGAGACATGGGGAGCGACACATGGATGGAAGGGGGAGAGACATGGGGGAGAGACATGGATGGAAGGGGGGGAGAGACATGGATGAAAGGTGGGGGAGGGACATGGATGGAAGGGAGGGGAAGAGAAACATGGATAGAAGGGGGGAGAGACATGGATGAAAGGTGGGGGAGGGACATGGATGGAAGGGAGGAAGAAGAGACATGGATAGAATGGGGGAAGAAGAGACATGGATGGAAGGGGTGAAGAAGAGACATGCATGGAAGAGGGGTAGAAGAGACATGGATGGAAGGGGGGAAGAAGAGACATGCATGGAAGGGGGTAGAAGCTAGCGGCGTGTGTAGCCACACCTTACTCTGCCTGGAGATTGCAGAGGGGCTAGGAAGTGAGCGGAGTGGACTAAGACAGCAGTTTGCAGAGGGACTAGGAAGTGAGGGAGCGGAAACTCCAGATGGTGGCATTATTACTGATATAACTTTAAGTGACGCTTTTGAGTGAATTATATATTTGTACCCAGGATTACATATTGTTTGCATGAAAAAGATACAAGTAATTTTAGTTTGTTTTGGGCCCCAGTTAGACTTTGAGTTTGACATGCTTGATCTACATCAAAGCAAAAATGAAAAAAGAAAGGGTGCTACCCAAGAGTGCAAAAACTGATAGGGAGCAAAAGCCCAACGTGCGTTTTGGCGTGTCAACACACTGTCGTCAGGGGCAAGTTTATTGTGGATACATTTTTCATTTGCTTTTAGCTGCAAATGTGTGTACAGCGGTAACTTTTCAAAGAATCCATTTAACATCTGTGAATACACAAGTGGAACTGGGCTCAATCGATGCGCATCCAGTCCAATGGCTGCCATTTTCACTTGAGATCTCTAAATAAATGGCAATATTCCCTGTGGTTAGAACTTTTCGGGGACAGAATCATTGCAGTGTTCTAAAACCAGTGATAGCAACATGAATTTAAATCTATGTTTTAACACTATTCATACTGGAAATGCCTTGTGAAATAGGCCTGACATTTCATATTTTTCGTTTTGCTTCTGTACTATCTGAAATGTGACAGCATCTTTAAAAGTGTTTAATGACATGAAAATTATTATCAATTACTGGGACGCCTATACAGCAGCTATGGCTTATTAAAGATTCTTACCCACCAGGGGCATAACTACAATACGTCCTCAATGATTAATATATAGAATCTAACAAAAGAAAAAAAAAACTATACTGGGTGGTATGAAATCGAGAAGGGAGGGGGCATGACTGCTAAGGGGGACATGTCAGTAACCACAAAGAGGTGGGTTTCAGTGATGCAATTTATATGCAACAACACAACGGGCCACCTCATGTGAGCCTGATTTGTCACACACACTTGCCAGTCAGTCAAATGGAACTGTACATGTGAAATGTACTGCAAAAGTAGCTGTCAGCACTTTAACAATGACTCACACTTTGCTTTCTGGAGATATTTCTCTAGACGCAGGACAAAAAAGAAAAAAACTCGGGCTTCGAGACATGGGTCCAACATTGGTACTTTTGGAAGTTACCTAAAAAAATTTGCAGAGGCATAAAAAAATTTAGGATACATACCTTCATGTTTCATGAAACTTGTCCAGCCTGGACCAATCTATTGTACACTTATTTCTCAAAATATTTGTTACAATTATAGCTTCACATTGATTCACTGTTTATTATTACCTTGTTAAAGGTTACTAAAGGCCATCTAGATATTATCTCAGTCCAATTTTAACTTACCGTCCATTCATAAAGACAGACCGGATACTGCTCCATAGGGCCCAACTCTTTTGTAACCAGAGATCAGTAATACTTTCTTGAATGTGTGAATAGTTTGCCAAAATGTAGGGCTCTGGAATTCCCAAATTTGGGATCTTTTTGAATCCCAATGTTGTATAACGGCAGGAATGTTCCAAAATAAGCCAGCCACTTTCACTTGTCTAAAAATCAACAGGTAGATCTAGAATATGTCATAATGCATAAAAATGGGTAGAACATTTAGAACTGAAAGGTAGTGATAATTTGGAGTTCTCTTCAGATGATAGTGGGAGTTGGTTGTTTTGTTCAGTTCCCCCCCTTAATATAATTTGATTATTATGCAATACCTGGAATAGGTCTAATTGTAATGAGAATTGCAATGTTTTAGGCAAACTTGGAATATGGGCCTTGAATGTTATGTAGTTTGGGTGCTACACCAAGATTCCTAGTATGATTGCTCATGGATTTAATATGACATCAACCCATTGTCTTATTCCACTTTATATGCTAAATCTTGGCTACTTTATTATATAAATATATATATATTATAGTTATCTTTGTTATATGATCTGCTTAAGAATGAATTCTTTGTAGTTAATAAAATGATTTAAAATGAAAAAATATACGAAATTGGAAAAATACAAAGAAAAGCTGCCTTTTCTATATGCTTAGGCCTCAATTTAATATTTGTGGGATAAATTTTTCGAATGATTTTTGATATTTTTGGATAAACATATATATATACACATTCTTTTGACATTTTAATATTTTGAATAAATGATTTTACATTTATCCAGGTGCCCACAAGTAAAAGCTAACATCTTGATGGAATAGCATTGTACACACTATGATACTATACTTAACCTGTAATCGATTATTACCATCGCATTCCTTTGTCTTTAGATTACCCATCGTTATCGCTTTATTACAATGTCTAAAGCACCAAAAAAATGTAATCTTTCAAAATAAAATGTTTATCCAAACATATTAAATGGAGGCCTTTATTGGAATGCAAATGTGCATTTTACCTTTGCCTAAAAAACTTTTTTCTTCATATACATTTTTTTTTTTTTTTTTAATGTAGTAACCTGAGAAGTTCTTTTTGAACTTTTTGTTCAACGCGGTTAATTGCATCGCAATAGGTAAGTCACGGATTTTTTGGGGTAACAAAATGAAGACAAGGTCTACTGGTAGTATACACAACTCTTTACAAAATATACATAGTTAAAATAATCAGATAAGAACATTAGGCCACAACACGTTTGCTGTCTAGAAAGGCCTGCAGTGCATTGTATAGAATACAGGTCATCTTTACAAAGCTTTAAAAATGTGCTATGCAAATCAGTGCTCGAAGGAGCTTATATTATTCTGATTGGGAATGCCAAAAGTACATCAAATTTTGTTAGCTAAGCTGAGGCACTAGGAGATAACACATTTCACCTAAATTCACAGCAGATCAGCCATAACGAATTGGACCATATCCGAGGTATGACGATTTCCCCCAATGTCCTCTACAGTCCAAATGCTGACACTTCCTGCAATTTACACCCTCTAATAAATAAAACAGACGTTCTAGAAGATTTAACAAAGGAAATATTGGCCGTGAGATAAAAAGAAGAGGCAAGTTCGGAAAGGGCCTCACATGCCCTCTCCTAAGGCACTTGGCTGGCTGGAAATTGTTCTGTGTAGCAGTACACCATAACACTTGGCTTTGGATGCAGAGACGTAGGACAGAGGCCCTGACTAGGAATAACTCCTTCAGGGGAGGCTGGTGATGTCTCTCTTTGGTGGTGGGCCTGTTGGCTTTGGGCATGCTTCATTGGCTCGTCCTTCAAACATCATGATACTGAGAATAAAAAAGGAAAAAGGAAGTTAGAATATATATTTTAGGTTCAGAGGTGGACAGTCCCAGCAAATACAATGAGATGTAATGGTTATGATGCTTAGAGCAGACCTCAAAATTTCTATTTGCTGGATAGCTATTGGCAAGTGAAAATTCAACCCTGGCAAGTAGAAATCCACCACTGGTGAGTGTGCCATGGACTCTACAGGTTTGTCTAGCAGCGTAGGCTGCCTGCAGCTTTAACACCTTGAGTGCCTGGGGAATTTATTTTGCTTTTGGGATTGCTGGTCCTGCTCTGGAGCACCGGGTGGCTGCTGGGATTGAGTGCGGCTCCTACCATCATCTTTGTACTATAGCAGTATATGATGTGTCATTTTGTGCCATGGCTCAGGATGCCTCTTTAAAACCTCTGTTAACCTTTGCCAGTGCACACAATTCCTAATTTTCTATGACAACAGGGATTTAACAATGTACAAGAAGGAAGTACATAGAAAAAAGAGAGAAGTGTAAGTAATGGTATGTAGACATATATATCAAGAAGTCATGCCCTGTAGCTGAAAAACAACAGAATCAGCAAATGGCATAGAAGTGCTTTTATCTGTAAATGTGATTGCAAATGATTGAGAAACATCAGGGGCAGGTCTGAAAATTAAAGGAACATTCCACTGAAAATGCTATTTTTAAAAAAACAATTTAGTAGATATATACCCAAAGAAAACATACATGCACTTTTTTTTCTGCATGTTTTCTTTGGGGGTATATGGAAAAAAACAGTTTACATGACCTGCAGACATGCTGTCTGAAGTCTTTGCAAGCCCTCCCCTTTTCCCCCAGGACATACATTAATCAGAAGCTTCTAACTGAGAAGCCTCTGTGCTGGATCCATGAGCATGAGCGTATGTACTGCAGCTCATTGAAAAGGCGGAAGGCACCACACCTGCCGCTTCTGTTAGATCTGCAGCTCTAACGGAAGCAGAAAAAAAGCTTCCTGGCTGTCAGCTTGCAAATATATCATTGAAATTGTCACTTTTATAAAATGACTCAAATATGACAGACTCTAGATACCTAAAGCACTTTAGCAAGCTGAACTGTTATATATGTCTGGAGTGTTCATTTAAAATGTATAATATACAGCTGGACAGGGACAACAGTGACTTATTAGCTATGAAAGGATGAGCCAACCAATGGCTCTCTGAGTTTTGCTAAATTATAATTTCTGTGGATTTGGTCTCCTAGAAGTGAGACACTAGAGACCACGATTTCCCCATTGGAAAGCATTGGATTGGCCATAGAAAAGCATTAGATTGCCATGGAGGTGGGTCTAGCGAGGCCAAACGTAACCCTGGCCAATCAGTATCAGTGCCTGCATGCAGAGCATGGAGACACTGAATGTCAGTCTTACTGTGCAGAACTGCCCCAGGAAGCAGCTCTAGTAGACATCGGAGGAATGGCGAGTGGAGGTGTCCCTAGGCTGTAATATAAATACTGTATTTTCTCTGAAAAGATAGTGTTTTTGGCAAAAAGCCTGCAGGGACTGACTATACTCAGCAGAACAATTACATTAACCTCTAGCTGTTTTGGTGACTATAGTGTCCCTTTAAAGTTACATTTGAGATTACTGAGCCAGAATAATTTTTAACAGTAATCATGCATAGAAATGTATTATAAAAGAAGAAATAGGTACAAGCATGCTAAAGTGTCAGGAATTCAAAGTAAATGTCAAATTTTATGCTAAAATAGCCACATTGGAAACATAGCTAAATTCATTCACTTTACATTCCCCACAATGACAATTTAATAATCTTGATAGGCCTTATTCACTAAACAGTGTACTGTAGTAAACAAAAAATGAAATTGCTAAATTTATACTAATATAACTGATTTGGAAAAATTCTTAACTCAGCTGTAGCCACAGATTGGATATTGTTTGCCTGCAATTTGTAATTCACTTTTCAATTCAACCCCAATTTATGGTTTAGTGAATAAAACTATTAGTTATTCCCTGACCAGGGACTTTTAAAACAAGCAGACCAAACATGCAGAGCTGGAAAAATAGCTTAGATTAAGGTGGAGAAATTTTCAGATTTGACTATTTTGGCCTAAAAATTGAAATTCTATGGTAAAATTTATTTCAGTGAATAAACTTGTTTGTGTTAATCTGTCATCTGACATGTCAGGTACTATCTACTTATCCACAGAAAAAATATAGATGCAATATTATTCAATAAAGAGAGAACTGTCATGTTCCTCATTTGTATTGTTTATCTATCACATTAAACACTACTGAAATATTTACTGCGTGATAAAATATCAGAGGAATCAAAAACTGCCAGTGATTCCGCAAGCACTGACACATTGTACCAAACTGGAAGAAGTTTCTTGTGGGTAAAGTTTGTATCAAAATGCACATTTACTAGGAATCATGGGAAAACTACAAGATTAGCATCAATATAACTTGCATCGTACATCTTTCTGTGACTTTACAGAAGGTATATGCTAAACTGAAACAAAAAGTTAAGATTTTATTTTTTTAAGTACAACCGATTCACAGATTGACTACTTTGGCCTTGATTTTCAGGTTTCCATTCACAAGATTTTCTCAACCCCGTCTGAAGGGGTTTACATGCATTTTAAATGTATAAATGTCACATACTTCAGAGTGTGCACCCACAATGCATTGCTCGCCAACTCATAATTCACTCAGTGAACATTGAATCTGCATGAGGTACAAATTCAAAATCTACCTCTTGTTAATTAACAAGAAATGGATTCACACCTAAATAACTTCTGATGTAGACATTTGCAGGGAACAATCACTTGTAAACTGTATACATTTTATAAAAAGCCTTTAATCTTTGGATTATGGCTTTACTAGTAACTGTGTTCTGTGTACATTGTAAAGGTTCCATAAAATTCAAAAAAGTTTATAACTGCTGTATGACTGGAACAAAGTTCTTCCCACAGCAGGGATTTAAATCACCAGGTCTCATCAGCAAAACTGAAAAGACTTTCACTT